GCCAGACAGACAGACAGAGACAGAGAGACAGAAAGCAAGAAATCACCCCCCAGGGGGAATGGCCACGCCGCAATCCCTTCTCCTCCATTCTCCTCTTGCGATCTTGGGCACGCACGCACACACGCCCGGCGTGAATTTTAAGCCACCGGGTCTGGGATGCGAACTGCAGTCAACTACATGGGAGTCCAGTGACATAGCCATTACGCTAACTGCTGGTCCCCACTTGTTGGACTTTATGAGCAGACTCTCTCAGAGAGGGCGATGCTTTGCCTCCAAGAATAGCCCCAGCTGTGGCGGGGAGTTCCACGCTCATGTTTTTGGGGGATGGTGTGGGGAAAGGGGGAAATCGCCCCAGTTTCTCACCGCTGCCTCCAGGCATTCCCTGTTGCCTGCCGTTTTGGGAATGACCCCCTACTCCCACTGGTCCGGCTGGGACCTGCTTTGGTCACAAAGGTGACGTAAGCCTGCATGACTGCGTGTGTGTGCTTTCGCCCTCTGCTGCTCCCTGAGGACATGCCCGGGCTTCTGTGCTTGGGGCGATGCCCGTGACATGGAGCTGAGCTGCCAGCACTCCAGGAGGGTCTCTCTCTCTGCCACAGCTGGTCAGCTCCCAGGTGTGGACGCGTCCAGCCAAGACCAGCAGAGCCGACTACTTGACCTGCAGCCGACCCCACATGCGCGAGCAAGCCCAGACCAGGTGACTTCAGCACAGCCACCTGAGTTCTCCGGATCTGGGCGCTGGCTTTCCTTGTTACAGCACGCCCAGAAGTTTTGTGGGGTTCATTATGCAGCGTTAATATGGCACTAGGTGAGTGACACAGACGGTGGGGTTAGAGTTGGCGAGAGGGAGAAATCAGGATGGCAGGAAAGTTGCAGGAAGAATCCAGCCGAAAGTCAGAGCTGGGTTCTGGTTTGACCCTGCCGGCGGCCAGCCCCATGGCCTCTGGGCCCTTCTCACCTGTGAGCCCTCTCCCTGTTTGCTGCCTGCCCGTCACCTCTCTGCTGCCCACACACAGAGCTGGCCCTTGTGTCTCCTGCCCTGGCGGTTCTGGCTCCTGGGACCTCCTCATTTCCCAGCTCCCTCCGGGCAGACACCTCACCTCTGCGCCGGCTCACCTGCGGCATCAGCTTCAGGAAGGTGACCTGGGGCGAAGCGCTGCACAGCACCACCTTGCTCCTCACCTCTGTGCCGTCCTGCAGAACCACTCCCTGGGCGCGGCCTTCGCTGCTCACCCGCACCTTAGCCACGGTCTAGAGCCCAGACAGTCCGGGTTGGGGCCTGTGGGAACTCCGCTGTCTGCTGCTTCTTGGCACTTGCTTCCTCACCCCAAATTTAGCTAAGCCAGCTTCTGAATGAAGCACGCCCGGCTCAGCCCCAATGCCACTGAGTGACCCGTGCGCTCACAGTAAGTGGTCGGGAGAACCGGGGCCTCCCTGGTAACTGCCCGACCACCAACAGCTTCAAATCCTTAGTCCCTGGATTCTGAGCTCATCTCGTTCATCCGTAAGAGGAGAGAATTTATTTTTCTTTCTTTCTTCTTCTTTTTTTTTTTTTTTTTTTTATGTTTTTTGCCATAGGGGCCATCCCACCACC